TCGTGGCATCAAATTTAGGCCCTCGGCCTCATATCAATATCAGTATAATCACCCAGGCTCTCGGCCTCAATATCAATGTAATCAACCAGGCTCTCAACCTCAATATCAATATAACACTGCTGAGGCGCGCAGCCCGATCCATGCTCAGTCCAGAAATCCTCATAAGCCCCTTGGGCATTTGTAAAACAGTAGTTCTCAGCCCGAAATATCATTTAAAAATACCATTTAAGCTTTCAAATCTTAGAAAGATGGCTGAGTTTGCAAAACAATATTTAAAAACCTTGGACTGAGAACAAATGATATACATGTATGCGAAAACAGTGATGTCAATCCCTGAAAGATTCAAATAATTGGCAAGAAGCCCAAATGTAACAATTAAATCCAAGTAAGGATGATTCTCAATTTAGTTCAAGTAGAAAACACGGTAAAAATATCTCTCAGGACGGACCAAGTCACAATCCCCAATGGTGCTCTACCCCACGCCCGTTATCCGGCGTGCAAATCACCTCAATATAGCGTTACGATGTGAAATTCCGGGGTTTCAAACCCTCAAGACATCATTTACATCAATTACTCACCTCGAACCGGCTACTTCTTTAGCTCGCGATGCCTTTGCCCATCGAATTGGCCTCCACGTGTGTCGAATCTATCCAAAATCAGAAAGAATATGTCATAATATGATAAGGGAACAAACCCAATCAAAACAATTGAAAATATCAAAATTCTCGAAATTAGCAAAAACCCGAGCAAAATACTACTCCACAATGTCTTTTCCTCTCAAATCGACCTCCGAATGCCTCGAATCTAGCCACAATAATTCGATTCAATCAATAAAAATTATAGGAATTAATTCCATATGGAATTCTACATTTCTATTAAAAACCCGAAAGTGCACTCAAAATTCGCCCGTGGGGCCCACGTCTCGGAATCCGGCGAAACTCATAAAATCCGACAGCTCATTCCGATACGAGTTCAACCATATCAAAATTATCAAATTTCGACAACAACTCGACCTCCAAATCTTAATTTTTCATTTTTGGAAGATTTTGCAAAANCCATTCCGATACGAGTTCAACCATACCAAAATTATCAAATTCCGACAACAACTCGACCTCCAAATCTTAATTTTTCATTTTTGGAAGATTTTGCAAAAATCTTGATTTCTTCCATTTAAATCCGAATTAAACGATGAAAATAACCATGGATTTATGTAATATAAACACTTTTGAGTATATGACACTTACTTGAGTTGAAATCGTGAAGAACACCTCAAAATCACCCAAGAACCAAGCTCCAAAAATCCCAAAACGAAAATGAAGAAATCAGCATTTTTGGTCCTTAAGTTTCTGTCCGCCCGTCACTAAAAGTCCAGTTTCGTCACTAAAAGTCGCCACTAAAAGTCCACCAGAGGCAGCTTTACCAGCTATATTCAATCGATCATAACTTTCTGTACAAATGTCCGAATGACAAATGGTTTAACTTTTTGGAAACAAGAATCCAAGGGCTACAATGTTTGTGTTTTGCATATTTTCCGATTCCATATATATTTCGAGATATTAGCTTCCAAATTAGCCTCCTGGCATCAGAAATTTTTGGGAAATTTCAAAACAGCTTTACTAGCCCTTATTCAATCGATTATAACTTTCTGTACAAATATTCAAATGATGAATAGTTTCACTTTCTGGAAACTCGAATGCAAGGGCTACAACTTTCATGTTTTGTAAATTTTCAGATTCCTTATAGATTTCGAGATATAAGCTTCCAAAATAGCCCCATCGCATCAAACATTTCTGGAAAATTTCAAAACAGCTTTACCAATCCTTATTCAATCAATCATAACTTTCTATATAAATATCGGAATAACTAATGGTTTAGCTTTCTGGAAACTAGGATGCAAGGGCTACATCTTTAGTGTTTTGTAAATTTATAGATTACTTATGTATTTTGAGATATAAGCTTCCGAAATAGGCTCCACGATTGCACAGTTGCTGTCCAAGACAGCTTCTGCAGCAGAAAATTCCAGCAATCCTTTTATCTGATTTCCATTCCGTTAACCTTCCGAAATCCACCCGAGGCCCTCGGGACCTTAACCAATTATACCAACATGTCCCAAAATACAATACGAGCTTAATCAAGGCTTCAAACCACGTCAAACAACACCGAAATTACGAATCGCGCATTGAATTGAATTATGAGTTTTTCAAATCTTCCAACTTCTACTTTTTGCGCCGAAACATAACAATCGATCCGAAATGACTTCAAATTTTGCACACAAGTTATAAATGACATAAAGAAGCTACAAAAACTCTCGGAATTCCATTCTGACCCTCTGATCAAAATCTCACCTATCAACCAGAATTCGCCAAATACTAACTTCGCCATTTCAAACCTAATTCTACACCGGACCTCCAAAATTACTTTCGGTCACATTTCTAAGTCATAAATCATCCCCCGAAGCTAACCAAATCATCGGGATTCAAATACGAGCCCTCTAACACATAAGTCGACGTCCGATTGACTTTTCCAAAACAAACCTTCCTTAAAGAGACTAAGTGTCTCATTTTCTACTAAAACCAATCCAAATCAACTCGTTCATACCCAACACTGATAATGAAGCATAAAGAAATAGGAAATGGGGAAAACGGGGCGGTAACTCACGAGACGACGGGTCGGGTCGTCACATGTTATTTGTGGAATCTCACCAAGAGTGCTCAGAAACTCTGCGTATGCTGCAACATGCACCCCACAATCCCTAAAAAATAATTGATTGAAACAATTAAATCTAATTCATACAATTAGATTTGTATATAACATACAAGAATGATGATTAATACTTACATGCTCCCAGCTTTCTGTTGAGGCAGATCTGATATGAAAAAAACTTCAAAGGGATCATACAGAGAAATACATATGAATAATACAATTGAATACAACTGTCTATAGGTGAATAAAACGGTTGACTACAACTGAATACAACTGAATAAAGCTGAATACAGCTGAATAATATTGAATAATACAACTGACTAGAGGTGATTAAAATAGTTGAATATGACCGTCTACAGCTGAATAAAGCAGTTGAATACAACTGACTATAGCTGTATTCACCACAGTTGAATTCAACTGACTATAGCTGAATACAGAGAAATACATATGAATAATACAGTTGAGAACAACTGAATACAGCTGAAAGTAAGAAAAATACAGCAGAATATAGCTGAATAATACAACAGTTATGGGAACCTTGAAAATCCTTAAAAATACAACTATAAAAATACATCAGAATACATATACATATGTATAAGTACAACTGAATACATTAATACCAAATAGTACGAAAATGTGAATTTGAATACATCTAAATAGATTTAAATACAACATACAATATTCAAGTAAGCACAACTCAGTTATTGACAAATGTGAATGTGTAAATAAGTTCTGGATTGTTTTAATACTTATGAATACAACCAGATATATACGAATACAACATCATACATATAAAATAACTTGAATAATTATGAATACATATAAGTTTCTTTGAATGCATATTGATACAATATCAATTACCTTTTCGTGTCGTGTATCTGATTTTTTTTTGCATCAACTTCCTTAAGATTGACACATGAAGAATCATTCATAGGTTTTTTCTTCTTTGAAGCAACTGGATTTTTTGTTTCTTTTGAAGATTTCTCAATTTGGACTTCTTTCGATTTGTCGTTGTGTAGTTTAGTTCTTCTCTCTGAAACTGTAGTTGCTGATAAACCTGCAAAATCCGACTCCGCTTGAGTTATTTGCAACGAGAAAGAGGGCCCATCAAAATTGAAAATTTTGGTGGGTATACCTCTGGTTATCATCTTGTGTGGCATTGAATCCGATATTGGAGAGAAAAACCAAAGCTTCCTGGTGAGTAAACAATACCAATGGTTATTGTTTCAGAAACAAAGTAAATTCTGTATCAAAATTAGAGAAACAAAATAATAATATCAAAATCTAAGAATTAAACCTACCAAGAGCACTTGTATCGGCTCTAAAACAATGATTTTAGAGAGATGCAAAATGGGGAATGATAATGGCGGAGACCTAGAGAATTTGGGTGGGATAAGAGTTATGAATCGTGGGTTTGCGGAAGAAGAGAGTAAAGTGTATGCAAAAAGAGAGAGAGAACGTGGTTAGAGCAGATATACGGTGATTATGTGAGAGAAAAGACTAAAAAGGAGAGAGAAAAATATTATTCAACATATATGGTGCCTTAAATGTAGGATGTAACTATAATTAGATATTTTGCTATAAAGGATAAAAGGTATCTATAGGATGTAATATTTTAAAATGATATTTATTTAAAATAAATAGGGTACTAAGCTTTTTTATAGGGTGTAAAATTTCCTTTGAATATTCACACATTTAAGTGAAAAACAAAGATCATCGTCGTAATATTGCTTCAAAAAGTTGAAAAGCTTGTTTTACATTTTTTATTAACCTTTACAACAAAAACAAATTTTATTAACCAAATATCAAAAAGAATTTTGAAAAGAATTAAAGCCTTTTATTTCTCATGTTTGTTCGAAATAAAGTTATTGTAAAAGTTGAAAAACAGTTGCTTATAATTTAACTCTTTGTAAATTTTACTTATATTTTAATATACTTAGTTACAAATATACCTCAAAGGGGATTGTAAGTGCAAAATTTTCATTGGATAAGGGGTGTAACTGTTTAACTTTAAAATGCAGGGGTGTGTCTGAAGTAAGTCATATTACAAGGTTGTTGAGTGCAATATATATTTTAAAGTACCTCGTATAAATTTTATACGAGGTAGGGATTTAAAAAATTTCCTTAATTCATGCGAGAAAAATCCCTAATCCCCATTCTGATTTCAGGTAATTCTATAAACAAGGTTTCCATTTTCTGAAAAATAGATTTTGTTCAATTTTAATTGAAAGCTTCAATTTTTTTCTCTTCATAATCCGAATAGATTTTTCTGTTGATTATGATCTTGTGGTGTTAATGGTTATTTTAAGTTTTCATTTTTTGTTTTAATTTTGTGGGTTTCAATTTGTACTTTGTTTGGACAGTTAAATTTCTTTACTCGAATTATAATAGAGAACTAAAAATTTCAAAGTGTAAATGTATCAGTTATAATTAGCATTTTCCAGTATAAGGAATGTGTTTAGCTTATCAAAATCCTATCAAAGATAAATATATGAATTAAGTAGTTGGTTTTAGCAGTATTGTCAAAGGCTCATTTGATGCGCGCTTAAACCCTAAAGCTAAGAGAAGCTCAAACTAGGGGGTTCACATCACGCAGGCTGTGCTTCGGTGTAGGCAAGGCATTATGGCGAGCGCCTCATTGCCCATAAGTTATATCTTGGATAGAACCGTACTAAACATTAGACATGATTTGCAAAAACATATTATTATTTGTTAAGAAAATCATTACGAATGAAGTTATTACTTTTTCTTGCATTACATATGTACTTTTATTTCTTTCTTCCTTGCGCCTTTTTTTAACTGAAGCCCACACTTTACTTGCACTTTGCACTTAAAGCCCGAATAGACCTGGAGCGCTTTCTAACACTTTTCGCCTTTTGCAACATTGGGCTTAGGAGAATTGGTAGCTATTTTGATTTTCTGAAAACGTTCTTAGAGTTTAGGATGATTATTGCAAAGGCTAAACGAAAATTTAACGAAACAACATAATAGCTCTATGTTTTAGTCGCAGATTTGAAGTGCTTATAAGAGATCAAAATGGGTGAGACGGGTGGTACTGTGAAGGAGAAGAAAGTAGTTTTTGTGACGGTTGGGACAACTTGCTTTGATGCTCTAGTAAGAGCTGTGGACACTCCAGAAGTTAAGAAAGAATTGTTCAGGAAAGGCTACACCAATATTCTGATCCAGATTGGTCGTGGATCATACATCCCCACTAAGGTAACGTGACATTTCACTCGACATCATTTCTCTTCGAACTGAGTACTAAATTTTCCAACATTTGGTTTCTATTCTTGTTCTGTATGCAAAATCTTGTTTGTCTTTGATCTGAAGAAAAAGAGATGAGAAACAAGAATTCAGAACTGAAGCCGAGTTGGCTGATTAAGGGTACTGACTACGAGTTAGTGACACTTTAGAAGTGCTAATTTGCTAGTAGTTTCTGGAAATAACTACTCTTTGTTTTATAGATGTTGTTCTTTCCAACAGAATATGGATTCATCTTACATGTCAAACTTAAATTAGACTTGAAAACCTGCTTGGGTACATAGGTAACTTGATGATAAAAAATTGTAGAGCATATATTCAGTTGGAAATTCCAAGCTCGGGGATCTCTGTCTAATTTCAGTTTAGTTTTGCATAACTGAAGAAATTACCTTTATTCAAATTACAGATGTCCTTTTAGAGAAGACACCACTGCTTAAACCAAATCTAAATGCGACTTTGAGTTTATGTGCAGATATGCTGATGTGCTGCTTTAGCCTGTATAGAAATGTAGGTTTAACCGTTTAACCCATGAATCTCAGGTCATTTACACGGGTGAATGAGTCTCATCTTTTGTTTGACGTTCAATACAAGGGATAGATTGGCCCAGTATTACAAGGCACTACGTTTTGGTTCTTATGGATGCTAATATCTTGGCCCAGTATTATGAGGCACTATGTTTAGGTTCTTGTGGATGCTAGCATCTCATTATACCTAAGGACCAGATTAGTTTTCTATGGTAAGAATTCAGGATGTGTTATCTGCACATTTGATGTTAGGGCTCGAACTTGTCGAATGCAAATAGAAATACTAGGTTAGTAACTGCAAAATGTTTGTTTTCTGGGTTTTCATTGTTCATTACTTTATTTTGATGGCCAAGTTGTCCTTCTCCAGTGGACTGGTTATCTATGTTAAGCATTCTTATGCAATGTGCAAAATGTCTTTTGCCTTTTTTAGATCTGTCTGTTGGTTAATACACTCATCGATATCATTGTTGTAACATTTCCAGCCTGGTGTGACAACTCTTCTTGCCTGCCAATGACTCTTCCTCTATCTCCCCATTGTTCAAATCTTACTGTAATGTTTTCAGTCGACCGTGGAAAATGGGTCTGCAGTTCTGGAGTATTTTACATTTTCGTCAAGCATAGCTGACTACTTCAAGGAAGCATCGCTTGTTATCAGTCATGCAGGTATTAAGGATCGGCTAATTTTACTTTATCTAGTCAATTTTGTTTTTTGCTACTTTTCCTATGCCTTTTCATCCTTTCCTTCCCTCTCTCCCTCTGTCAAAACAGTTCGCCTCTTGGATATTGCCAACGCTCTACAATTAGAAGCTGTTATACTATATTTTCTCTAACTGAGAAATTTAGCTTATTCATTCAGAAAATACGTTTGCATGATGGCAGAAACATGAGTATGTCTAAATTCTAGATGCCCTTTGTGGTTTTATATGTAAAAATAACGAAAACCTATGTAAAATTCTATCTCATAAGAAGCTTTTAAACTTTTTCATTCTGTTTTAGTGTTCATGATGACTTGATCAGTGTTAAGATATCTACTCCCACGGAATAAAGCTGATATTTTGTAATTTGATAAGCTTTCCTCTATATCTTATAGAAAGAATTACAAGAAAATACACATGACTTCGCACCATAACAAAAAATGGCCCATGTTTTTAAGTTTTACCCCACCTAGCCTATATTGTACATATTTTGAAAACACTAGCTCTTGCAAATTCAAAATATGTGTTCTTACAACCATTGCTTCTAAAAGCTATAGAGTTAAATCTGTGTACTCACAACCATTATTTTCACTCTTTCTTCTTCTCACTTTTTTTTACATACGCTTCAAGGGTCATCTGCCATTACTGCTTCTCCCCCTAAAGCACCTGGTTGCAATGTAAAAAAATTGAAAATTAGAAGTCCACCATTAAAGGGCATTGAAAGCTTTGCTTTAAAAAATAGAATTTCTTGTAATTCTTAGTTGTTTGGATTGGGTGTTGTTCCAATTGATTGAAAATATCAAAAGGAGTTCAAAATTTAAATTTGAAGTGATTTGGAGTAGATTTGAGCAAGATTTGAGTTAAATTTCAGAAAAAACGCAAGGAAGAAGACGAAGTCAGTTTTTTATATAATTATGTATAATCTTGTATAATAGTGTATATGAGTGTATAAACACATCGTATACACTATTATACACTTTTATACACCTTTATACAAACGTCTGTAGACGAACTTCTTTCACGATTTTCAGTTGCAATTCCTATTCAAAACCAGTCAAAATCTCCATTAAATGACTTCAAATTTTATATACAACCTCCTTATACTATTTCTAACAAGTCTAAATAACACTCACTCCAAATTTCTCACAAAATCAAATTCGGAATTTAAACCCACATATTTAAGCTTGTTAAAAATCTAATTTTCACCACCCAAATGGATTTGGTTTGTTGAACTAATATTTGAGTCATAATTACTAATTCGAAAATTAACTTAAAAGCTTGAGCAATCCTTTTTAAAAATTAAATGGTAATTTTGAGAACCTATTAGAGTTGGATGTTGAATCTTAGCCTATTATTTTTGGGCTAATTGGTTGTAAATTGAAATATGGGCTATAAAATTGAAAAATGGGGAGCCCAATTGTTCTTATGTGAAATTATCCCTGGATATGTAACTGTAACATTCTCAAAAAAAAAAAAAAAAAAAATCCTATATGTAATTGTATTTGAATTCAACCTTGCTCATCCTTCACAAATGTTATCATGCTTCATGAAAAAATGTTGGGCGCCTCATTGGTGAAACTTCTAGCAGTTCTTCCTGAGGTGGCATCAGGCATGTACCACTTTGAAGATTCATCATAAATCGACTAGTATTATGTTGGTTGTCAACCTACCCCATTCTTCCTCCTTTATCGGGGCTTGGAACTGATAATGTGAGCAAGCTTGGTTTCTGTCTGAAAAATAATTAGAGTAAATCTCTCAATGCATGCTCAATTTGAAGTTTTATTGTTGAAGGTGGGTTAAACAACAACAACATACTCAGTATTATCCCACACCGTGGGGTCTGGGGAGAGTAATGTGTACGCAGACCTTACGCCTACCTTGTGATGATCGAGAGGCTGAAGGTGGGTTAAAAGATTATGTAATTACACGTTTGAAGGTGCCTGCAGGTTCAGG